CTACAAAATACGAAACACTGTTAAAACGCGACACAAAGAAACAGGGACACGAGAAACGAATCATGAAAAAAATTTGAGGAAAAAGACTTCAGAAACCAGAAATAACAAAACACTGGAAATAAGACAAGGACATCTAAAATAACGTTTAGAACGATGCACCCGGTGAAAAAACGAGGGATGCTAGAATATACCGTTTTCTCATATCGCAAACCGGAAAAACATGAAAACAATGAAACACTGAAAAGGTGTAAACCGAAAAATGAAAATATGAGAATCAAAAAACATAAAAGCAAATAAGTGATATTTAAAATACAAAACCACCAAAAAAATAAATACAGATTGAAAACAAAAAATACAAGAGGACACTGTAGAATATCGTATTTGAGAAGAAAAACGGAAAATAGAGAGATACGATATTAGCAGAAAGATCTACAGCACGAAAACTGAGACTCGAAAAGAGCACACAAAACGGACACGATGAACAAAACACAAAAAAACATGACAGGGGAAAAACGAGAACACGAAAATCAGGAACAAAAAGGAGGGACAAAATCGCAGACACAAAACGAGACACGAAAACGCGACACGAAAATCGCGTGGAGAAGAGACACGAGCAACGAGACACCCGAAAACCAGTCACGAAAAACAGACAAGAATACCGAAGTTACAAAAAAATTTTAGACTTCCGAAAAATAGTAGACACGGAAAACAACACAGCTTAAAAATAAACACAAAGAACGAGCCTACGAATACGCATACACGTCAAAGCAAAAAAGAAGAACACTTAAAAAACGAGTCACGAAAAGCGAATAAACGTGGTGTCGAGGTCTATGATGGAGTAAATACTCCGAAAAAACGGTACAGAGGAAAAACCGTTCTTCCCACCAAACTCTGATACACCTGGTAAAAGATACCCCTCAAAAAAACGAAAACCTGGAAAGAGAGAAAAAACGCGAAACAAATATTGAAAACTCAAAAAGCGACAGATTGGAGGACTACGGAAAAGTCCAATAAACGAATAAGCATGAACATTCAAAAACACGAGACTACAATAAAAACAAGACACCCGTTAAACAAAAAAAACGAATTAGAGGATAATCAGAGTTAAAATTGGAAGAGTCGAAAAACGAGACTAAGAATAACAGATTCAAAAAAATCACGCAAAGATGACACATAAAAAGAGACGGAAAACGAAACGAAGAACGAGTACAAGGAAAATCTAACACGATAAAACCGACACGCAAATGAACACGAAAAAAGTACACAGAAAAAATCAGAAACGCAAAACGTAACTCGAAACACGAGCATGCCGAAAAACGAAAGACACGAAACCGAAAAAACGAGATTTGATAAAGAGACCAAAAAAATGATTGTCAAGAACAGGACTCGATCACGAAAACGGACACTAAAAACGAGATACACACACGAAAACAAGTCACGAAAACGAGAGTGAATGTTGAAAGAAAAAAATACCGAAAAACAAAACCATATTTAAAAACAAACGAAAAATGATATATCAAAAAAGATGATAAAAACCAGAACCAAACGGAAAAACGAAAACGGGAAAAAGAAGGGAAGTTAAAAATGAGAGAGAAAACAAGAAAGAAAAGAAACCACGCTAACAAACGCAAATAAGAGACACGGAAAACAGACCCCTCTTAAACCACGAAAAAACGACACGTAATAAACGACGACACGAAATCGAGATACGATACGACCGGAATCAAGACACGCGAAAACGAGACTGCCGAAAGTCGAACACAAAAAACAACAAATAACCAAAAACAAAAACCAATAGCTTTAAAAAACTCAAAAAAGAGACAAAAAAAGAAACGAATTCACGCGGAAAAGAAAACCGCGTAAAGAAAAGCGAGAAAGGAAAAAAGAAGAATCGCAAACAAAACACAAAAATACGAGACACGAAAACAGACTCTAAAAACGGGAAAAAGACACGAAAAATTATGAACATTTACAAAAATTGGGACACAAAAAATAAGACCCGAAAATGAGACAAGAAAAACAACCGAAAAACAAGAACGAAATGAAAACAGGACACACAAACGAGACTTCAAAAAAACGAGACATTGACGAACGAGACACAAAAACGAAACAAAAGACACCTTCAGTGAAAAACCGAAGATACGAAAAATAAAACGAAAAAAACGAAAAATAAATAACGAAAATCAAAAAAACGCTAATTAATAACCAAAAAACGAAAAAAAGAAAGATGAGATCAAAAACAGGCATCAAAAAAAGAAAGACACGAAAAACGGAAACGAAAAAGAAAGAACGGAACAACGGCAAGAAATGCGGGACAGAAAAACGAGAAAACAAAAAAAAACAATATACGAAAACAGAAACCACGCAATTAAAAAAAGAAAAACGATACACGAAAAGAGTTGTGACATGAAAAACAAATCACACGAAGCAGGACCACGAAAAACGAAGACTTGAAAATCGAGATCCAAAAAACCCGGAAACGAAAAACGGACACGTAAAACAGTCGAAAAACAGTACACGAAAAACAAGACACAAAAAAACGATCACACGAAAACGTCCCCGGAAAAAACGACGGCACGAGAAACAAGAACACGAGAACGAGACAAAAAATGAAACACGAAATTACGAGAAACAAAAAAGCAACACGAAAAGGCACAATCAAAATAGACACGAAAAACAGAGACTTGAAAACGAGACACGAAAAAGCAGTACGCAAAAACGAGACACGAATAACACGACACATGAAATCGAGGACCCGAAAACGCAGATTAAAAACTTAAGACGGACCAATATCGAAAACCGAAAATGAAAACCGAAAAACGGTAAACTAAACAAGACGGAAACAAAAAAACGAAAAATAGTAAGAAACGGAGAACCAAATAATTAATATAGAATGATAATACAAAATTAAACAAATACGAAAGATGAAATCAAAAATCGAGACACAAAAACAAGACACGGAAACTAAAAACGAAAAATGCAGAAAAAACGGAAAACGCCGCGAAAAACGGGGCTAAGAAAAACGAAAAACAAATTACAAAGTAAGCAAATTGACAATTTTCAATTGGGAATTCGAATTTCACAAAGCGCTTGTGCTTGTCTCAGAAAATATAGATTTGGATCCGACAATGGCACGCAACGCAACATGCAGTTTGAAAATCATAGATTGCCTCCTTATTGTTGAAAATGCTTTTATTGTAAAGTATCAAGCTCACTAGAAATCCAACATACAAATACATGACGTTACTTTTACAACGCATTGCCAGATTGGCATAAACAACTGAATGTCGTTCACAAATTAGGTAAAAGTAAAATTTATTTTCTGTTCACAACTTGTTTCTAACAATTAGAGACTATATTGATTATCAAAAAGTAAGATTGTTTATTTTAACCAAACCAGTGAGTATATGTATTGAAATAGTTTAATTTTTATTGAATTTTTTTAACAAGAACTTAGTATGTTTGAAACAAATAATGTACTCAGCTCATGGGTCAGTGACCCATCTCGATCAGGTTATTTGTCCAGTTTCCCTGATTCCATTGCAGCAAATGCTGGGTGGCCCCTTGTTCTGCTTTCTGGACGTAAATCGAATTTTCACTATGCGCACGGTTTTGTTATCTCTCCTTTTGTTGTAATGGTAGGAGTAGAGTAAGGTGCGAGTTGCCTATTTCTTTAGCAATTGCAGAAAAATCATACTTGCAATTCGTTTAACCCGATGCAAATATGTTTTCTATAACGTCGAAACGAAAATGTCGTTGTTTTTTTTCAAATATTGCTATCTTCGCGTTTTTTAAATTAATTTTATATTTAATTTATTTTTAAAACTTTATTATCATAGCCCAACTATTATAGTTAAAATGACGGGATGCGGATTCTGAACTCAACGAAAAAAAAAAAAAGGGCGCAGAGTATCTTCTCCCCCATAGTCACATACAGTTTTACTGTTTTTTACATAAATCATGTTGGGAGATGTTTTATAGATGACATGAAATTGAGTTTAATTATCGAATTTAGTTGATATATCAGATTAAAACAGAGTTTTCGCATCTACGTACTGCGATGTTTAATGAGTTTTACAAGTAGTGACTGAAAGTGAGTTAACATGAGACGTTAAGTGCAAACCTATGCACGTTCTAAGAACGAGAAAGTACAAGCTGATGTAGCACCACAAGTTTATTTCATCAGTGCAGCCCTCCCAATTAAAAGTAGCTTGGACCGCACAGGAAATTCATCCAAGCTGTTACCATTCAAAGGATAGAAGTTAAGACTGATACACGCAGATAGCCTATTGGTTGAGAGATATCTTCAATTAATTAATTAGATAAATGTTTAATACTTCCTTTCTGATAGCCAGTGCGTGTGAACGCACGGCCCACAATGTTCAAGTCCCCTGATATCTCTTAAAAAACTATATTATAATAAGTAATTTAAAAAATAATGTGTAATACATATAATATTCATGATTAACGATGACAAAAACATTGACAAAGAAGTAATCTCATACATATGACGTATATGTATTTAATTTTTTGTTTGTTTAATGTATTTGAACACATAGAATACTTCAAAATATTTTTTAAAAAGTTACAAAATACGAGTTAAATGATAGAATTTTTTATATTTCGGCACCGGAAATGGAGAGTGTGATTGTGTATAAGAATAGAGGACCCCAAATTAACCTAGGCACAAAGCGCCCGAAACTGTTTAAAACGGCCCTGCTGATTTTGTATTGAAATTGCATTTTTATTATTCCACTTTTACATCTCTACAGTTCCATTGGACAATTTTAAACCCTCAAATCGATCATTCTGAACAATCCGCTAAGTCACGCTGGTGCTTGGACCTTCCCCGCGTTATGGAAAAAGTCGCCACGAAGAGAGTTAGTTGTTCTCCTGTTTTTATTACAGAGATGCAGATTTTGGAGTAAAATTGATGGAGGGATTTCGAATTTCACTATATAAATAAATATTCAGCCACATTTTTTTGTTTTTATTTTTAGAATTTTTCAACTTTGTTTTCGAGAATGGGAATTGAAAATTATTTCTTTGTTAGGTTTGGAAACATATGGTGGTACATCATCAAGTAATTATTGGTTGCAAAACAACCAAGCAAAGTCATGAACTTGTTGTGTGTGGGTTCGTACACCTACATTACAGAAATGAAGCATAACTTTAAAAGGTATCGGCATTGTCAACAAAAATTAATTGTCTGAAAGATAATGGAGTCATCACAAAAGTAGCAAACATGTATATATTTATATTGTTTAAGGTTTTCGAGATCACACGTTGATTCCGCCTAGATTGAAAAATCCTTATATTGAATTCATGTACGAGCGAAGAGATTACGACGAGTTGTGGACAAAGTGGAAGATGAACAATAGCTGGATATAACAGGTGAAAAAGAGGAGATATCACTCATCTCCTTTCCAAACATTATATGCCCTACGTTATTCTACATGGTGGAAAGATATTAAATTTCTATGGAACATTATCAATTTTTAGCAAATTCATCCAAAATTGCAAAGTAATATAATTTATTTACATGTTTACATAACCTTTTATTTAATATTTTATATAATAAACTGTTTTATTGAAGATTCATTAAATATGGTTTTCAAATATTTTCAGACTAAAAAAAGCATCCTTTGTATTTTATTGAAATAATTTTTATTTTATCATTATTACATTCATTATTACATTCTTGACTTAAATAAAATTATTACGAGATAAAGACATGTTGGTAGTACTCATAACTATAAAATGTACTAATAGCTACTATTTATATTATAATTATATCTAATATTGTGTGTTGAATTTACTTAAATTCAAATCGAAAGAATAGTCAAGCACGAAATTTACAAAAGACGCCCTCTAATGCAACAGGCCACAATTCCAAAATCATCATTTCGCAGGAGAGACCTTCGAAAGTCTTTCTCGATTGCATTAAAAACAGGAATTGAATTTATATACTGTGCTATTTATGAAAACTAAAAAAATTACGTTGTGGAATATTACGTAATGGAAAACGAGAATCTAACAATGAGGTCGTATCTCAATTATCATCTTTGGAGATGTGACCCTCTGCACTAAAGGTTGATTGTGATTCAAGTTCTTGAAAAAATGTGTTTTCTTCTTTTTTTTTTTCCAGATTCTTTACATTTGAAGGAAGAAGCCTACTGCATTGCCCAGTTTAGGAAAGAATTTAAATCGAATAATAGAATACTTTTTATTAAAGGAAATAGAATAGGTAAATGTATAGCAACAATATTAAAAAATACATGCAAACGTTTGTAAGATATCAGTCACGATTATATTTTAGTTTAAAATGATATTCTTCATATTAAAACAAGATACTACCAGCACAGTCTCTTCAGTTTATGTGAATTTACCCCTTTATATTATGTTAAAAACAATAAAAATTACAAGTAAAAAAACTAGTAATTGATCATTTTGTTGTTTTTTTTCCTCTCAATACAATAGTACCTAAAATTTCCACAAATATATCATCTGTTTTTAAAACTAGTCAAAATGAATCAAAATTATTATTTAGAAGAACTCGCTGTCAATTAAAAACAAATCTTAATAAATCTATTAATCCTCTTACTTTGTCTCTTCGGACTTCTTCGTTGTTCCGGTCTACCAATAAAGCCACAATCGTTTTGTTATTTCCTGCGACCTTCATTGATATCGTTTGACTTCTCTTTTTATGTTGTTTCGTTGTCCACTGTAAAATATAGCAACACGCTGGAAGAGTCGGTAGCGAGTCGTGACTACCAGATCAGAACCGTGTATTCAAGAAGAGATTGTTTCCCTCGTTAAGGTGAATGAAAGGCATTACAACAGTACGAATAATTGAAATTTAAATCATGCTATGTACAAGTGAATTAAATGAGTAGTAGTACTGAGCATCAGCGAAAGTTAATATCAGATTAGTTGCTTGTTCTATCATTGAAGTTTAATTCACTTTACTTACAATTTTATCACAAATCAGACGAAGAGGTGTGGAGGCCGTCAGTCTGACGTTGGCACTCCCAACACTTTCGGTTAGCACCTGAATGTTTTTTTTTTCCCCCTCCACACTAACCTTGAATTATTTTCTTTTGATATAATACATCAAGACTGGCTGTCTGCGGCTAAGCGTCTAGAGGAGAGCTTTGTCTTATAGCTAAATTTAATATTTTAATCCCAAATTAACATTATTGACACTTTGTATCCTAACTTACAATAAGATGAGTTTATTAATTAACTAGAGAAATTGTTCTTATAGTATATTGCATGAGTTGTTTTTTTTCTCTACATTCACACATCATTCATACTTGTTTCTTATATACATCGCCATTCATTCTTCCCATTCATTCATTCATATCCCAATACTACGCATTCACGCACCTACAAGCATCTGTCGCCCAAGGCGGCTGTGACCTTGGCTCAAAGTGTTCCGTGGCGCTCGGCCCATGGGAGGCGGGGCGCGTCGTCGCGTTCCCCTCGCGTCGGTGCCTCCGCTCGGTCGACCCAGCAACAAGCGGTTCGTGCGCAGCGCCCGAAGGGTGAAGGCAACGCGCTTCGACCTTTCCGGAGGTGGACTGATGCGCGTCGGCTGTTCCTCTCGGCCGGTGTCGCGCAGCTGCGGCCCAGCGCCCTTGCAAGCGCCGTTGTTGAGCGCATTGAGGTAGTTTATAGTAATAGTGTAAAATTGTGTTTAGATGATAATAGTTCGTGTGTGTGAAGGTGCGTGTGTCAAGTGAAATGTAATCTAGTGTGAATTGCCGTTCTCGATTGAAAATGAAAAAAAGAAAGGAAGAACAAAAAAAAAAAAACCCTAAAACTATAAGCCATGAAGAAAAATTACAGTCTCGTGTTAAATCTTAGCGTTGCGCCAAAGTCCGCTTCATCCAATCGGTTTAAGTAAAAATAAGTACGTAAGTAAAGCACTGCCCCCTTTCTTTTGCCGCATAAGCCGGTAGAGCTCCGGCGTATGCTGTACCCCAACAGAAATAAACTCCGCTCGCCTGCGGCTACTGGCGGGGGGCGAAAGTTGAAAAAGTCGCATTGAAAGGCTCGCAAGACTTGTTTTTTTACGCCCAGATCTCCCGAAACGTCGGTTTCTTAGGGTATTCTATTGGAAGGGCGAGGAGGGAGGTGGGGGTAACGCCGCCGAGACGCGCAGACCGCGTTTTTCCGCCGTGCGAATCGCGAGGGTGGCGGAGAGTGCCCCGA